TCGTAAAAAAAAAATGTAATGATCATCTTATCGACTGATCTTGTTTTGTTGACAGGTCCCGAACGAATAACGAGCACTCGACTATTATCCGTCTATACATGTCATTGGAGACCATCAAGCCTCACATTTGATCCTCTTCAAGAAATTATTTTATCTGATTGCACAGGAGACGAACTAAAAGAAGAGGTGAAGTTTTATTTCATTCGTAACATTATTCCTATTTTGATAATTACTAAACTAACACAGCTTTATCTGTGTTTTTGGCACCTGTCAATCAAATTATTACCAACTCAAATATTTTTTGATTGACAGAAGCCAAAAACACAGAGGTCTTGAATCATAGCTAGTTTTCTGGCTAGCATAATTATGAAAACGGGTGTAAAAATGCTCAAGTGTTGACACTTGAAAGCCCAATTTTCCCAGTTTTTCGTTGTCAACTTCTTTTTTTCGTTACTTTTTCAGATTTCAAAACTCAGTAATATTTCTCTAGAAAACCTCGATTTTGCGAAAGTAAGAGTTCTTTGGTCTTCAAATGATGATTTTATTTATTTTTTCTTTATTTCTTTTTCATTCCCCTTTAATTATTTTATTTATCTTGCATTGAATTGCAGGGTCGTGGCCCCTTTCCTTGTACAACATCTGTACTGGAAATTGATAAAACTTTAGACTGGAATCCAAAAACAACCTCATTGCGTACCAGTCCTCTTTATATCACCGATGATGGCGCTGTTATATACTACCGGTAAGAGACTGAACTCCATTTGTTTCTTTTAATCGTTTTGCTTTAATACGCGTTTTTTCCTGGAATTTTAAATTGTAAAGTGTTACTTGAAATCTTCTTTGCTTAAATTATTTTTGACTGTGTTTTCTTTAGAGATAAAACAGAGGAAATGATGGAAATAAGCGAAGAAAAGAAACAAGAAATTTTGAAAAAAGAAAATGCAAAGTATGAGTAACAACAATCCATCCCATATATCTATCTATCCACCCATCAATCCAGCCATTCATCCATCCATCCATCCATCCATCCATCCATCCATCCATCCATCCATCCATCCATCCATCCATCCAGCCAGCCGTCCGTCCCTCCATCCATCCATCCATCCATCCATCCATCCATC